ATTTTGTTAAAAGTCTTGTTAAATTTACTTTGTTAAAGTTTCCCGTCTCAAGATGCGAATTATTTATTTCCTCTCAGGAAAGTGCTGAAGTGTTTAGCCAAAAGCTGTTCAACTCAGTCACATATTCTAAGAGCCATGAATGAAGATACAAGCAGTGTCTGCGCAGACACTTCATGTATTTAAATGCAAACATCATTTACTTAAACACCAGCTTTACTTGGGGAATGGTAACAAAGTGCATAGAGCAACAAAAGAGCATGCACTGGAAGAAAACATGTTTTGAGGTGTGATGGTATCCAGGTCCTTTTTATACTGATTCATTGTACAGCTATACATTCTAGACCGTGGACCCAGGGGTGCTTTCCACAAGTATCTGCTGACAATAACAGCTGTGTAAGTCTTCTTCCTTCAGCTCCTTGACAACAGGACTAAATAAAGTGAAAGCAGCAGCATCTTCAGTGAAAGATACAACTGAGCTTTCATGCTTTCCAGCTCACTAAGCGTAATCTTTGTGGTCTTGATAAGCATGTATCGTTTGCAAGTCCTGGTCTTCCGTTAGACACCAGAAAGCTCCCATGGCCCTGGATTAGGGGAGCAGTGCCAGGCGGGATTGCAGTAATCCCAGGTCGTGCGGAGCAGCACGGGGCTGGCTCCGAGCTCGGCTACAGCCACCAGAGAGCCAGGCCTCAGCCGTGTCTGCATTGCTCGTCTCTATGTTCAGGCCTGGCTTGGTTCTATACATCAAAAGACATGCTCGCTGCCCTGTAGTTAGGTTGAAAATGCGTAAAATGGAAAGGGCCACGTGTCCCTGTGAGGCCTTGCAGCCCAAGGCACCGTATTGCCGCGGGCTGTTGTGAGTATTGCTAAAAACGCCCCGCAGGAAGAACTGAACTCCAAAGCTGGGTGTGCAATCAGTGTGATTTTAATCTGCCATCAAAAGCGCTTAGTACTTATATCCAGTATTAGTCAGCAAAGGCTTAAGAACAAGAAACAGATAAAAACTGTATTTATTTTACGGATACGCTTAAAACAAATTTTAAGTTCTTTATCTCAGCTGAAGGTGGACAAGCATGTGAACACAAATTTTAAACCTATATATGTCCGCAGCTTGCTCTGAAATATGCTAACATGCACATTTAATCAATTTATTGGATTCTTTTTCTCTCTCTAGGGTATATTTTATGAACAGATTGGGCTTTTATCTCCCTCCCACCCTGAAGTCTCATCTGTGAAAGAGTGCTAAACTGGAATGAAGAGAGCTCCAAGAAAGAAGCAGTTCAAAATTGATTTTGTCTTCAGTTTACAAATATAATTTTGAAAAAATGAATTTTAATGGTAGGGAAAAATCATAGACCCTAGTTTGTGGATGTCATTCAGCACGAAGATGTATTAATTCAGCAGTGTAATGTCATCTGCCTTTTGCATCCTGACATCAGACCAGCAAAAGTGCACTGATTTATAGCCAAATGGTGCTACTAGAACCCTGACTTAACAGTTCTGCCAAACATAAACCCGTGTTGGGAATAGGTTTTCCTCTTGTCACTGGTGAAAATTTTGCATTGAGAGCAGCAGCAGCAGGCAGCGCTTCCACGGGGCGCTTCCATATCCCTTCCATAACAGATTGCTGCTTCTCGGTAGATCTCCCTTCCACAACCGGAGCAGCCGCTATTCCAGCGAGTCGACCTGAGCTCTTTCCCAAAGCTTCTTAGCCCGCTTCTCATCGTTTTCCCCCCTCTTATTTATGTGTCAAAGCATATCTGCTTTCTATTTATACTCGAATTGCTTTCAGTGATGAAACATTGAATCAGCAGATGGTATCTGAGGAATTTACAGTAAACGTAGTGTAGCAGTTGAAGTGAGTAAACATGTCAGAAGAATGCAGCTTCATTTTGCTGTTACTGCACGCTCAGAAAGCCATAACGCAATGGCCAGGGAAGCCTCAGCAAAGCTTGGTCTCCAACTGCAGATGCAAAGACTGTGTCGAACATTTGCTTTTTCCAAAATGTTTTGTATAACAATAGATGGATAAAGATTATGGAAATACAATGATATATAAAAGACAATTTCATGCTCCACGTTCTGTAACTACTTTTACTTCACCTTTATGCATTTCGGGCTTTGACTGTAATATTCTCAAATCTACTGCTTTGCATCCATTTTAAAACCATTATTTTTTTACTGCTTTTTAAGACCTCTGTTTTCTCCAGAACTCTCCTGATTCTCTTAAAGCCAACCTCAATAATTCCCAACCTCTATGTATATTTGCTCATGCTCAAAGGAGTTCCTTGGATGAAATATTATGTCTCTTGAAAGGTTTCTTTATCAATGATAAACTTGGTAAAGGTCAAACCATGTTGGGTAATATTCATGAGATATGATTCCATCCTGCAGTCAGCATGAGAAAGATGCCATTAGGAATTCAGTCAGCAGGGAGATAAGTCCTGTTATAATGAACTGTAATAAAAGGCTTGGTTTAAAAAAAAAATCGGATAGTATTTCTGTCCTCCTTTACAGCCCTAAGCATTAAAACAGGAACGTCTTCAAAAAATCAGGCCAAGTTCCTGTTAGGCATATTTTCCTATCTTTTCCACTGATTAGGCATCTTTTCCAAGATCTTTTATTATAATACAAATCTTTATTCTGAAAGATATAAATTATTCAACACAGGATATTTTGTTCATGTGATTAAATGATAATATTAGAAGTGCTTAAAATTATTGGAGTACTCAATGAGCTCGTAGAGGGGACTGACAGAGTTTTAGAGGAGAAATTATGGATTGTCTGTAAAATGTGGAAGAAAATTGGCCTCAGCATTAATCTGTGGTGAGGAGCAGACGTGTTAACTGGATGCGTTTGGGCATAGGGCAGAGGTGCGAAGCTCTGCCAGGCTGCCCGAAACGGCCCAGGCCCAGGGAATTTGTTACTTCGCAGCTGTTGGATGAGGTACGCAGAGGAAACTGCAGGTATCTTGAGGTGACAGAGAACTTGGAGCGATAGAGTAATTGTAGCAATTAGTCTCCAATAAGCTTTAACATAGAAGTGAACATTTCAGAAAGGAATTAACAGAATCTTGCACTCCGAGTAACAACCGGGTGGAGAAGCGGCCTAGGCCGAGCCCGGCAGAGACGGGCGGTGCCGGGGCCGAACGGAGCGGCCCGAGCGGCAAGGACGGCCCGGCCGGACACCGGGGCGGGAGGGCAGCCCTGACCCGGGCAGGAGCCGGGGCTGCTTCCGCGTGCTTCTGAAAAGGACACTGCCGAGGCGATAAATTAAATAGAGTGCATGAATGCAAGAGAAAAAGCTGCTTTTCTGCAGCCAATCACACAGAAATAATACAAAGCCTATTCTTAAAAAACAGTGTGAAATTGCCTTTTTTTAAAAGTCATTATGGATGAAAAATCAGAAATAAATGATATGAGGTATGAGAATATAATTTTGTGTGAAGCATGAACCAGCATTTTCCCACCTTGGCAGTACACTGATTATCTATGTAATGCACTGTTAAAAACAACACGGGAAGCGGCTATTCCCTTTGCGCAGCATCCCGGTGGGGCAGCTCCCGGAACAGAACATGGGGCTAGACGGGGCATTGGCGTGACCTAGTAGCACACTTCCTATGTTCTTAAAAGGAAAAATAAACAAGGAGACAGAGAAGAATCAATAAAGTTGTGCACATGAAAATGGCACTGAATAGAAAGCATATTTATCTGTAAACATGATCTATAAATCTAAACAAATACACAAATATATATATACACACATATATGTGTGTATATTATACATATACACATATATGTATATATCTGTATATACATAGATATACACACACATCTATCTATATAAAGTAGAAACCAAAGGATATCTTTATTAAAAGAAGCAAGGGAGGGGAAGAGGGAGAACAGGTCGTCCTGTGTGTTACTCCATAGATGCATGTTACAGTGCCACTCATACAAGCTTCCTCTTTCTTGCTGCTATTTTGCCTAGGGATCTTTATGAGAAATAAAAGTATCGCTCTAAGACTCAAGCAGTTCGGTTCAGAGAAATAAGAAATGGAACTTTTCACACAGCACATAACAGGAAATCTCTGGAAAATAAAAAGTCAGTAGCTGCCCAGTCAATCTACCAGCTGCCAAATGACTAAAAATAAAATCCGTATGTCTTGATGGGAGGTTTTGACCCCAATATTACTATAGTCTCAAGGGACAGAATGATCTCGTATGCAAGTCTTTTTTTCTCCGATAGGACTAATGCATTTAAATGCTTGATTTGATTCCTTAATATTCTAGGGCATTTATGAAAAACAAGAAAGGATACAAATTGCAGAAGGAAAGAGAAAAAAAAAAAGCCGAAGGGTTAGAGAGGATGCCATGATTTTAAAAGTACTTTTAATGTAAATTTCGTTCACTGACACACTGTCCAAAAATCAAAGGAATACATATCCCTACATTGGACTTATGATTCATTTTTTTATCTTATCATATATAAATATCTCATTGTAAAACAATGTGTTGCCAAAATATATATTACAAGCAATTACTTATAAAAATACAATTAAAAAAGAATAACAAATATTTGAAATTGTTAGTTTTATAGTACTGCCTCTCCCTGAAAATAATAAAAAACCCACTACTTAAAGCTATTTTAAAACGATGACATGAAAAGAGAAAACCATAATTTGTTACTACACCTCACTATTTTGTTTTAGCTAAAACCCTACTCTGAAAAACTTTTGAAATAGTTTTCAATGAAATTTCTAATTAGTATGTTCTCTACCATTTGATTATGGACAAAGACTAGAAAACATAATAATGGGCACCATGAAAAAAAGAGCCACCAATTAGGGTTTCCATTGATTTAAAACATTCCATTGCTTCTTTAATCAAAACAATAGTGTATCTGTATTTCCTGTGTAATTAATGTTATGCTACAACAGTGCTGTTCATGCAATTTCATTTTTTTCTACTTAGATGAAACCAAAGAAGACCAGTGTGCTGCCTCTGTGATTTCGACTGGCTTGAAACGAATCAATCTCCCAGAAATTAAAGACAGGAAAAGTGACAAATACTGGTCTTCTACAAATCAGATTTCTCTTTTTGTCTTTGTAGACAGATTTCTTCATAAATTTGCTTCCTGAACTTCAACATGTCTTCTACATCTTTGTGAGTCAGCATTTCTGCAACAGATAAGAGCTTAAAGCTGCTCAGTTTAAAAGTTGCCCTGTGCTGCACAGAGTTTAATAGTTTTAATGACATTCTAACTGATTCACTTAAAGTAGAGCAAACTGGAAAAATCCTAGCAGTCCACAACCCCAAATTTGTGCTATCACTGGAGAAGAGCTGCTTTGAAACCGGTAAATCCCAGAGATCCAAGCACTCTGGTAAGCTGACTCCAAAAAACTGCAGAGAATGTACATCTGACAGCAGCTTCACGTTCCTTTTCAAGTTGTCTTGTACACTGAACACTATGCTTACATACTTCACTTCATCGTTCATCTTTATACTTAGTGAACTCAGAAAACAGTCTGAGGGTATCTCTGCCTTAAAATTTATGTGTGAGCCACTGATAATGCTGTTACTCCCTACTGATACTTGAGGTCCAATTCTGGAGTACTCAATAACGGTTCCAGGCCCGATGAGACACCCAGGCTCAAGTATGCTTTGAATGATACTCCATGATCGATCCAAGGTCTCAGCTTTGCCAGAAAAGATGCTAAAAGCTACAGGCAGCAAGTCAAGCTCAAATTTCAGTTTGCTATCAGATGTAAAATGAAACAAATACTCTTGAGTAGTCCCTATATGATAGAATTTGGAATTGTTTAATACTATAACATTGAGGGGAGTTCCTTTAAGGAGAGAATATAGCTTCTGCCTTACTTCCACCAACTGTGATTCCTCTTTTGTGACATTACTTGTGTTTGTTGTGTAATCTTGAGTGGCACCAGGTCCCAAGGCCTGGAGGAAGTCACCATATGCATCTATTTCACAGCAAAGACTATCTATTTGGTTATAAAATGCCAGTAATAGTTTGGCAGTGCTATGATCAATGTAAAATATACTGTCAGTGTACACGTACTCCGAGCCCGTTTCTGAGCCGCTGCGGTCTCCGCAGGAGCTCGGTCTGACACAAACTGCCCCGCACCGGCGCATCCTCTCCACGTCCGGCTTGTGCAGGAAGCGATGGCAAGATCTGTATTCAAGTCCTTCACCTGAACACCTGGCTTGATCCAAAACAAACACTCCGTGAGTGGTCCCAATTGCCAAATCTGAAGGATGAGCCAAAGCAGTAAATCCAGGTTTGTCAAATGTGATGGTTTCTGTTTCTGCAATGCTGTAAAGCTCTATGTCATCGGAACAAGTAACGAGAATTCCTGGTTTCATGTGCCCCGGGAAATCGATGTACATTGCAAGCTTCAGCTCCAGCATCTGGTACACGGGATCACCCAAGGGCAAAGCTGTGAAAATCTTGCCCAGCGCGCTTGCACTTGGTAAACGTTGGCTATAACCACCTTGAGGAAAAAGACATTTTAAGGATACAGAACACATGCTTTCTTACAGACCGATTATATAAAATAAGCAAAACTAAAACCTGTATGCTTATTCTTTGTATACGCTAAGATACCAACAAATAGCTTAGTCATAAACTACTGTATTTTTCCAGAATTAAAGAAAAATGTAAAAATCATCATTCCTCTTCAGACATTTCTCAAGGTAGATCCTGGCCCTGATCCTAATTATGCCTGAAATTTAGCATGCCTTAAGTAGCTTTTCTTTTTTTAAACATGCCTGATTTTATTTTCTGGAAAATGAACCACCTCTCTATAAAACTAAAGCAAAGAAACCAAATGACTACTGCTCCTTCTTTGAAAGACAGAAAAAAAAAAAAAAAAAGCCCTTCACTCCAAAGTCGTATTTCAATTTTAAATCAAAGATGAGTCAAATAAGGAGCAGTTTGGGAACATGACCTGTTATTTACCTGGTTCCTTTGCCTAGCAGTTTCCCAGCTATCAGTTTTTAGAAGTGCTCTGATAACTGGATATCAAGGCAAGCACTCCTAAAGTCTGTATTCAGTTAAGAGGCTTCCTATGCAGTTCCTATGCAGGACCAGACTCCTTAAATGAGTATTTAAAGGCAGGAGCTTATTTCAGATACTCTGAATTATATTTCTCCACTGATTAACAACCTAAATGCCAGGAAGCAATGTGTGGGTGATGGTAATTATATTGATCTAAATTCAAATGATCAGACCAGCTACATTTGGGAGAACTTTTCTGAGGGAAGTATATTTCAGAATTCTTGTTCCTCCTATTCCTTCTCTGTGAAAATAATTTTCTTAAAAAAAAATCAAGCTAGGGTTTTAGTTCATGAAATATAAAACGGAATTTACCAGAATGAATTAACAGCACAAGAAGAGAAGTCCACTGATCACCATACAGCTTTTCCAAGCATTGAAGAACGTGAAGTGTTGAACCACCATTTCCTATAAAAAACAATCTTCATACACGCTGTCAGGAACACCAGTAACCCGTGAGGTTGTGTATGATACACACGCAAGGGAGCCCCCAGCGCTCGGGGCCAGCGAGGGGCCGAGGTCTGCGCAGCCCCCGTGCAGCGGGTACCGGGGCCCCGTGGCCCTTGGGGCTGGAGCTCAGCGATCACGTACAGCCACGACGCACCGCGACGCACCGCCGTGCACAGCCATGCACAGCCATGATGCACAGCAATGCGTGGCAGTGATGCATAGCGATGCGCAGCCATGCACAGCCATGCACAGCTCTGTGGCACAGCAATGCGCAGCCGTCCACAACACTAAGGCAGCGTCATGCCAAGGCCTCTGGCAGCGCAGGGCAGCGCAGGACAGGACAGGACAGGACAGGGCAGGGCAGGACAAGACAGGGCAGCGCAGGACAGGAGAGGACAGGACAGGACAGGGCAGGACAGGGCAGGGCAGGACAGGACAGGACAGGGC